AGGATCATGTGAAGTCTACCGTTTCAAAGGCCTCCAGTAGGCTACACTATCTGAGATTATTGACCAAGCAAGGCATGAGCGTTGTTGATCTGGTTCAGGTGTATTTGTCATTGATTCGTCCCGTCCTGGAGTATGGACACGTCCTGCTGGTTGGGTGCAATGAAGAACAGTCCGCCAGTATGGAACGCGTCCAGAAACGTGCCCTACGTATAATCTCCTGTGGTGGTAGACGGGCGGTTCCAAACCTACCTACCCTGAAGGAAAGAAGGGAGTCAGCAGCAGTAAATCTATTCAAAGCTATGCTGAACCCTGATCACCCTCTGCACGACCTTGTTCCCCCTGAACGTGCAACGGCTACAGGGAGACAGCTTAGGAACAGCAAAACGTTCACTCTGCCCAAAGCGAGGACCCTGCGCCTGAAACAGTCCTTCATTCACTGCGCAGTAAGACTCTTCAATGCCAGTGACAATGGCTGATACATGTATGATGTATCTGAAAACCTATGCCTGCTATTTGCATGCATATAGCAGAGTGAATGGTGTTTGTACATATTTGTATATAGTGTGTTTTTCTGTGTACCTGTCCTGTCTTGCTTTTTTAACTTATTGTAAAAATCAGTTACGCAATTCAGGGATGCATGCAGCATTCCCTGCTTTTGTATGATTTTGTTGATTGAATAATAAACTGTATAAAGATATGGGTGGTAGATTGTAACACACTGTCAGTAAGGCCTAATCTCCAAGCAGATATGGGGTGGTAGATTGTAACACACTGTCAGTAAGGCCTAATCTCCAAGCAGATATGGGGTGGTAGATTGTAACACACTGTCAGTAAGGCCAAATCTCCAAGCAGATATGGGGTGGTAGATTGTAACTCACTGTCAGTAAGACCTAATCTCCAAGCAGATATGGGGTGGTAGATTGTAACACACAGTAAGACCAAATCTCCAAGCAGATATGGGGTGGTAGATTGTAACAAACTGTCAGTAAGACCTAATCTCCAAGCAGATATGGGGTGGTAGATTGTAACACATTGTCAGTAAGGCCTAATCTCCAAGCAGATATGGGGTGGTAGATTGTAACACCACAACTGTCAGACATGAAATACCTCATTTCAGAACGGTTAACATTACAACACATGAAATGCATTTTAAACATCAGTTAAACAACATTTAAGCACAGCTCATATTGATAAAATAAGGTAGTAAAATGTGAATAAACTTTGAAAAATGCGGCTCTGAAAAAGCGCCCCTTAACGGCCGTTTTACTAAGTGAAGGCTTGAACCCAGGGAACCCGGTCGCCACAAATACTTCACAGTATTCTGTGTTTTAGCTTCACTTCATTACAGCAAATAGTAACTACAACAGGTTTAAATAGTAACCAATATATAAAGGACAATAAGTGCGACTCACCACCGAAAACGTGCGTAACGCGTCTTCAAAGACGAATTTTACCGGAGCTCTTTCCCTGCCATGCACACTGCTGGCCGTCTTCCCGAAGCGTGGTCTTAGCACCTGACAAGAGATCACCAAAATTTGCATATTCTCAATCAAATAATTAGATCAGATTCGCTTAGACACAGGTGTGATCTCATTTGTTAATGAATCATCATAATTTGCATTTCTTTGCTAGGCTTTATAACGTAATAGACCAACACTATTATCATTATACCATTATTTGCCTTACAAATATATAATTCGACCTCAAAGATATTCCTTTAATCTTTTATTTCAATAGATGACAGCATTACAGTTGGTTTTAACAGGTTTTAATACAATACACCTTTACTAACGCCTTTCCTGGCGCCCTCCCTTCCCCTTCCATCAATTTCTTTCAGAAAGCTACAATCTTTCCTTGTTGTTTCACTTAATTTAGTGCATTGAATTTCTCTATTTAAATCGATGAGTATTCAAGAATAATCAAACGGCTGCCTTATCACTTACCTTTCTAGTCAGAAAGAAACCCTGCTTCTGTACTTCTGACACGTTAAAATGGATCAAAAGCGCCATGGATTAAAAGCGCCGACTAGTGACGCTTGTCGGTACTCCAGCCTCCAGGCCTCCAGCTAACATCACATAGCATGGTGCACCTTGGCCGTATCACGGTCTTAATTTAGCGCCGCACAGTGGCGGTTTATGGTACTGCAGCCACTGGCAACTGCCACTGTGGCCTTCTTAGCCACCAGCGGGCGTGCAGCAGGAGAGGGAAGGGCCCCTGAAATCTTCGGAGACGAAGCCAAGCCAAGAATAACAATCTACCACCCCATATCTGCTTGGAGATTAGGTCTTACTGACAGTATGTTACAATCTACCACCCCATATCTGCTTGGAGATTAGGCCTTACTCACCGTTGTTGCAGTACCGTCAACCGCCACTGGGCGGCGCTAAATTGAGACCGTGTCACCGTCAGATGCAGCCTAGTTGTGACGGTGGGAGATGTAGGGTTTAGCTGCACTCATAACTTAAGAAGTTACGGTCAGGTACAGGTTATGGTACGTTAGTGTAAGCCAGTACTGCAGTACCGTCAACCGCCACTGGGCGGCGCTAAATTAAGACCGTGTCACGGCCAGGTGAAGCCCGATTGTAAATCTCCAAGCAGATCATACGGTGGCAATACAGTATCCTCTGGCCAATGGACACTGCCTTGCCACCGTATGATCTGCTTGGAGATTATCCGATTGTAACTGTGGGAGATGAGGACAGTGGCTGCAGTGCCTTAAGCCGTCACTGGGCGGCGCTATACCAAGACCGTGTCAGGATCAGGCATGGTAATAATAGACACCATGGATCAGGTGCAGCCCGATTGTGACCGTGGAAGGTGGAGGCCATCGCCTGTAGTACCTTCAGCATTCACTGGGCGGCGCTAAATTAAGACCGTGTCACGATTAGGTGCAGCTGGATTTTGACAGTACTTTGACTACAGGTATGACTTTATATACTGTATAGCCCTTTGACTTGGAATCTGGGATTTTTCAGAGGTAACCATAAAATTCTAGATATAACAACTTGAAGATTGTCTTGATAATTACCAGATGAGATCTTTCACTTGAATGGCCATTTGTATGTTTGCTTGTCTTTTTACTCCAGTTTAACCATAAAAGGTTAACTTATACATACACTGACATTATGCAACATCATCAGTATTGAGTTGCTTGCCTGTAGTACCTTCACCCGTCACTGGGTGGCGCTATACGTGCACCATATACTAGTACATGTAGTTTCCTAACTTTGAAAGTCTAGATCTGCACACATCATGACAGCCGCACGATTCAATATCAAACCAATTCTTTATTTTCCTCATATATGTACTCCATTGCACCCAAATGCACCCATACAAATTTATCTTATATACAACCCCTCAGTATAGTGCATTCCCACAATAATCTTACTTTTGATAAACTTTAACAAATAACAAAAAAGAAGAAAAAGAAAACATCCATTCCATTCAAAATGTTCAGGAAAGGGCCACAAATCTTTCATTAAAAGATAGGAGGAGACAAGATAGTGAAATTGCATAATTATAATCATGGACATAAAAATGAGCACCCCCCTCAACATTTGGAATAGAATAGCCCAAAGAAAGATGCAGGATGTTTAGGAAATTAACCTGCCGAAGACCGAGCCAATAAATTTTAATAAATCTCCTTTTTAATTTTCTGTTTCTAAATTTCCTGTTTTCTTCTCGCTCATGATATGAACACAAAACATACATAATATCGTACCCAGAACCGTGCCTATCTAGTTCTATGCCTGAATGGGTTAGGATCAGGCACGGTTCTGGATAGTCTCCGCGTATCCAAGAACGTAGATTTGCCCCACGCACGATTCTGGATATGCATGAACTATCCAGAACTATGCCCGAGCAAGGTACTGGCTAAAGTACAGTTCTGGATACAGTAACAAGTAATAGAAAGGGACATTGTCAACAGTACAGAGATGTTGGGTTAAATCAAATCTGTTCAAATTTCCTGCCCAACACGTGAAACAAACATTTGTGTGCCGAAGACCCAAAAGCGCCTTATATGGACATAAACCAGCTGCAGCAGCCCCATTATCTAACCATAAACTATTATAATACCCATAATTCATATCAACCCCATTATTTAACCACCCTTTCCACCTGGTAACTTTCCTGACTCTCAGTTTGATATATAACTTGCACCACGTCCCATTTATTCTCACAGCTTAGTTAACCCTCACCCTGCCGCATTACCTCTTATTGAACAATTCTCAGTGGTTAAAGGGTTAATTCAGCAGGGGGAAGGTTAAGCTACTAGAAAATTGAACCACTTTTCCCCAAATTCTGACAGAAATAGGAATTACAGAACCAATAATACATTGCAGTGTCCTCTTACAAAAGTTTGATGGCAGTAATTATAGCAGGTATGAATGTATGTATGGCCAATGGAACAGCCCATAACAAAATACTTGCGGCTATAATTACTGTACTGGCCACAAAGTCAGAACCAATGAAATGTCCCGTTACAAAAGTTTGAAGGAAGTAATTATAGCAGGTATGGCATGGCCAATGAAACAGCCTGTTACAAAATACACAACCAATCAAATGCCATGTTACAGAGGTTTGATGGAAGTAATTATAGCAGGTGTGAATGTATGGCCAATGAAACAGCCTGTTATAAAATACACAGCCAATCAAATGTCATGTTAGAAAAGTTTGATGGCAGCAGCTTGCAGCTAACTGATCACAACATGTTATAAACCTGCTCTGATGAGTGAGACAGTTACGTTGGTTTGGCAGAGATCATTTTGAACTGGGGATGACAGAATGACAGAAAAACATTTACACATCTCCATTTCTGCACAAGCAACAATAACATTCAGTCAAAGATTGCAAGTTTTTTTATGGCAGACCCAAAAAAAACTGAAAATAAGGCCACACCAATTTGATTTTCTGGTTCCCGGTTTAAATACAAACTGCTCAACTGGAAAAACATACTGAAGACAAAGCCTGAGTTGTTGCTTTGATGCACTCTCAGCTTTTATGATGTCTGCTTGCTATAGTTTCACCTTGAAAATTTCCGAGAACCAAAGAAGTAAACTGGAGTGGCCGAAGCTGGAAGAAACTGTCCTGAAAACTGCACATTCCATCTTTGCTGCTCTCCCCTCCCGTAAATAGCTGCTGTACTCTCCAATATCATACACACACAGAGATCAATATAGTTCAATTTTCCTTGTTGCGGCGACTCGTAGAAATATATCTTCTGTTGCCTAGCGACCGTTGCCTAGCGACTGTTGCTCAGACGGCGGACTTGACCTTGCCGTTCTCGATGAAGGGCGGTGCGTACTGGTCGATGGGCGGGCAGGTGCAGACCAGGTTCTGGTCTCCGTAGATGTCGTCAGTCCTCCCCGAAGAAGGCCAGAATTTCGTGTCCGGCTGAACAAACGGCTGAAGAGAAGATGAGACGAGAGAAAAAGATGAGACAACTAGTACATGTAGGTAACATTTGTAAAGCAAATTCATAGTGGCAAATTAATGATACGCCAAGAAAACAGTTACTCAAGCAACTTCATATTATGTTGGAAACGGTCACACAGACAGAGCTTTCAGGTAGCATCCACTAGCTTTCGTCAGTGACACTAGAGACTACAGGAGCCTCTAGTTTCAAAAATAACATCCAGTTGTTTGAGTAACTGTTTTTTGCATATTTTATTACCCAGATATCTAACCTACACTGACAAATTCATAATGTTTACCTACACAAGGACATGGTCTAGCCTAACAAACTACTGCTCTGCTTATTCTTACTCAAACACATTCATGTACATATGGTGACCAGCCCCTCCAGCTCTGTTCTGCCACTTGCTACACAATGTAACCCAACACCACAGGGTGCGTGCTACAGTGTCCACTCGCTGCGTGTGACGCAGGCCAGCGTGTGGGCCGCCATCTTTAGGGGGTTGTTTCTCCTACCCCCCTACACTACCCCCCCTAAACCCTACCCCCCTGCTCACCAGTGGGAAGGCTGCCTGTTCCCGTGAGTACGGCCTGTTCCACTCGCTGTGTGTGACGCAGGCCAGCGTGTGGGGCGCCATCTTTAGGGGGTTGTTTCTTCGGTCCATTCTGCCCTCCTCAATCTCTCGAATCTCCTGGCGGATTTCTAAGAAAAAAAACAACAGAAGTTTCGAATCAGCTGAGAAGTCAACATGAAACCTAAGGCCAAGAATTAGAACAAATAACTGTCTGAACTTTCAAAATCCAACTCAAACTGCAGCCAAAGTTAGCTCTGTAGGGTGGCAAGTTGTCCTGTTAGTAGCTTTACACAAACGTGAAACCTGATTACACTGAAGGGCTAAACCACAGATCCTTACAATCTATCACTTAAACTTTATCAAAACCACAATGACAGTCATGTACATGCTTTTGACTTTCGACATTACCCTTACAATTAAAGTTGACAAGATCTAGATTTATTTACATAAGACAGGGTTAATATATAGGCCTTAATCAAGATTTTTTGCTATACGTACGGATGAGTGCGTCACAGAATCTGTCGAGTTCCTCCCTGTCTTCGCTCTCCGTCGGTTCCACCATCAACGTCCCCGAAACCGGCCACGACATCGTCGGCGCGTGGAAACCTGGACACCGGAGGGGGGGGGGGTTGTTTAATAAGTATGTACAGTGTACTATGTTATTAGTTTTAAGTAGAGATAGAATATTAGATTAGTAGAACATAGAACTTCATTTCAGTATATGGTTTTCCCATTCCTCAATGCACTGTGTACTCAATGCTCTTGTCATTGTCAGTTTGCAAATAATCTCCATAATTTATTCATTAGTACAGTTTGAAATGTCTTTGAATACAAGTGGAAGGAAGTGCAAAACCGGTGAGTTAACACCTTCGCAAGTTGCACTCCCAAACACTAAATAGATTTAATACATTATATTATGAAACATGTTAAGTGGATGGTTAAAAACTTATACTAAGAAGCCTTAAGGTTGCATAAGGCTCAGTTATGTACTGTAATCTGCTGTCAGCAAGAGGCGGTTATGTACCGTAATCCTGCAGTACCTACACCCGTCACCAGGAGGCAGTTACATACCATAATCCTGCATGCGTTTGGCGATGTCGGCCACCTCGACTCCCGTCGTCTTCTTGAACACTCTCGTGTCGAGGATGAACTCATGAGCACAGAATCCTGCAGGTAAACAACACACAAGCTCCAGTTACTAGAGAGGCAGCACTTGCAAGCCAAATGCACTATATTCACTTCCGTAATTCTTGCCAAATAAACCAAGGTGGTTAAAAATCTCCTTACACAATATATGGTGTCTCCAGTCTCTCTAGCTTGTCCTGCCAGGTTGCTACATGATTTATTCTAACATCATATGCCATGGTACTAATTAGCATAACCAAGACTCACCATTGGTACTAATTAGCATATCCAGGACTCACTATTGGTACTAATTAGCATACCCGGGACTCACTATTGGTACTAATTAGCATACCCAGGACTCACCATTGGTTCCCTTGTACAGTGTTTTGTAATGGCCCTCCAGGCGTTTGCTCATGTAGTTAGCGTTGAGGATGGAGATCTCTGAAGCGTGTCTGAGGCCCCGCCCGCCCATCAGCTTGATGTACTTATTAGCATACCCAGGACTCACCATTGGTTCCCTTGTACAGTGTTTTGTAATGGCCCTCCAGGCGTTTGCTCATGTAGTTAGCGTTGAGGATGGAGATCTCTGAAGCGTGTCTGAGGCCCCGCCCGCCCATCAGCTTGATGTAGGCCCAGGAGATGGGCAGAATGGAGGCTGACCCAAACTGTGCCGCGCTCACGACCCCAAACGGAGACTGCGTGTTCACTTCCACCACCGGGTGGGACGGCAGGAACGGGCTCAGGTGCTTCTTACTGTGGAGAGGGGGTAGGGCAGAAGGAACGGTTAAAAGATATCCTGCTGATAGTCTCTCTCTAAAGTTTCTCTGATTCTTCTGACATAAACATATATAGTGACCAGCCCATCAACCTGTGTTTTGCAATGATGGTGACAGATATTTTGGAGAAGAAACAGAGCAAAGGTAAACATAAAAACTGAAGGAGTGCTTACACTCTGATGGCACATGCCCTATACTGAATGAGGGAATGAGTGAGTGAATGAAGGAATGAATGAATGAAGGAAGGAGAAAACTCACTCTGATGGGCAGTATGCCCTAAATGATGGAATGAGTCAATGAATGGAGGAACAAACGAGAAAACTGACACTCGGATAGGCCCCATGCCCGGCCCTCCCCCTCCATCAGTGAACGAGTGAATGAATGAGTGAATGAATGAATGAGTGAATGAATGAGAAACTCACACTCCGATGGGCCCCATGCCGGGCCCTCCCCCTCCATGAGTGAATGAATGAGTGAATGAATGAGTGAATGAATGAGTGAATGAATGAGTGAATGAATGAGTGAATGAATGAGTGAATGAATGAGTGAATGAATGAATGAGTAACTCACACTCCGATGGGCCCCATGCCGGGCCCTCCCCCTCCATGAATGAGTGAATGAGTGAATGAATGAGTAAACTCACACTCCGATGGGCCCCATGCCCGGCCCTCCCCCTCCAGGAGTGAATGAATGAGTGAATGAGTGAATGAGTGAATGAGTGAATGAGTGAGTGAATGAATGAGAAAACTCACACTCCGATGGGCCCCATGCCGGGCCCTCCCCCTCCATGCGGGATGCAGAACGTCTTGTGCAGGTTCAGGTGAGAAACGTCTCCCCCGTAGTCACCTGGCCGGCACAGCCCCACCTGCGCATTCATGTTCGCTCCGTCCACGTACACCTGGCCGCCGTAGCTGTGGATCAGGTCACAGATCTCCCTGGTAACACACAAACAAACAAACAGGAATAAACAAACAAACAAACGTACACCTGGCCTCCGTAGCTGTGGATCAGGTCACAGATCTCCCTGGTAACACACAAACAAACAGGCATAAACAAACAAACAAACAAACAAACAAACGTACACCTGGCCTCCGTAGCTGTGGATCAGGTCACAGATCTCCCTGGTAACACACAAACAAACAAAAGGCATAAACAAACAAAGATACACTGGCCCCTCCAACTTTGTCCTGCCACTTGTTACATACACACTGTAATGTAACTCAAAACCACAGGGTGTCTGCTACAGCACCAGTTACCATGGTGACAGATGTCTGGTCCAGGTCACTGACCTTCAAGTTAATTGTTTGGAGAAGAAAAACAGTGCAAAAGCAAAATGTTTTCCTCCTGCAAAAGCATACATAATGACAGTACCTGACCCAGTGTTAACGTCACACTTCAAAGAAGCCACATGACAAGCCTCATTGGGTCAGTCTACTGAAGAAGGCCAGAGTGACTGGTCGAAAGCTCTAGGTGAGAGAACTTCTATGTGTTGGATCTAAAGTTTCAACTTTAGACATTACCTGACATCGTCCTCAAAGACCCCATTAGTTGAGGGATAACCTAACACCACAGGGTGTCTGCTACAGCACCAGTTACCATGGTGACAGATGTCTGGTCCAGGTCACTGACCTTATTTGTTTGGAGAAGTAAGAATCAGACCAAAAACAAAATGTTTTCCTTACCTGACGTCGTCCTCGAAGACCCCGTTAGTCGATGGATAAGTGATCATCATGCAGGCGAGATGCTCCTTGTGTTTCTCCGCCATCTTGTAGAGATGTTCCTTGGAGACGCGCCCGTCTCTGCTCACCTCAACCGGCTGCACCTTCATCCCCGCCATCTGGGCGCTCGCAGGGTTCGTCCCGTGGGCAGAGGTCGGGATCAGACACACCTGAGGGGGCAAAGGGCAAGGGTCACTGTAAGTTGTATCTAGAACTATGCCTGAGCACAGTTCTGGATAGTCCACATGTATCCAGAATCGTACCTGATCCCGACCCTAACCATTTCAGGCAGAGAACTAGATAGGCACGGTTCTGGATACAATAAAGAGGACATAAAGATAAGACAGGTGAAAAGTTGCCGTAATGTTTTGTCATGCAGCAGGGCAAGCCCTTTGTAATAGCCTTTGGCTAGTTGGGCTGCCCTGGCTGTGAGGGCTGAACAGCCAGGGAGGCCTGCCCGCCTTAGACTAAGGCCCCCCCCCTAAAGTGCCCCAAAAGGGGCTATATGGGGGTGTAGCCGGGGCTTGTACAACATCTCAGAGCCCCGCAAAGATGAAGGTGAAGATGTAGCCATATCAGTAAATAAATAGATAAAAAAGCTAGGTTACTCACAGATCTGTGGCCCTCCCCATTGGAGGTGAGGTACGGCAGGTAGGGAGACAGGTAAGACAGGTAAAAAGAAATCTGAGACAGGTGAAGTGTCAGACAGGTAAGGCAAGTTACTCACGGATCTGTGCCCCTCCCCCTTGGACGCGAGGTAAGCCATGATGGACCTGAGACCGGCGTACTCGCCCTGCGCTCCGCTGTTGGGCTGGAAACTGATGCTGTCGTAGCCGGTAATCTCACACAGGTCCTCCTCCAACTCCCTCAGCATCTCTCGGTACCCGGCGGCCTGGTCCTCGGGAACAAACGGGTGCAGAGACGAGAACTCAGGCCACGAGCACGGCTGGAACAGGAAGGACGGAGGGTTAGTTAGTTAGTTAGTTAGTTAGTTCCCTCAGCATCTCCCGGTACCTTTACTCCCTGTGCTTTATCCAGGACCATGCTCAGGCAAAGTTCTGGATTATCTACGTGTATCCAGAACCGTGCCTGGGGCAAATCTACGTTCTTGGATACGCAGAGGCTATCCTGAACCGTGCCTGATCCTAACCCTAACCCATTCAGGCACTAGATCTAGGCACGGTTCTGGATACGATAGGACATTTCCATGATATGTTTTACAGTCTTCAAGACTGCCTGCAGTTGGTCACTAAGACAATACAGACCACGGCTTGAACGTACAGGAAAAATTGAATCTTACAGGAAAATCTAAATTTTTAAAATAATCAAAAGTCAGACTCACCATCATTTGTGTCGTGCTGTTCAGCTTCATTGTACAGGAGCCCTGCAGATGGGAAATATTTGTGTAAGCAAACAAAAAACCAAAAACAAACAAACAAGATTCCACATATAAATGCACATACAACAAATATATACTATGAAATGGCCAACTATAACTCGAAGTCCACATTCCAGTCTCACACATTCCACATTCTACCCAGGCACTTCCCATGCTAAATTCCCTCCTTTGATCCCAAATTGCCTCCCTCCCTCTGAGCCTAGATCATTCCCAGCCCTTTTCATCCTAAATCCTGCAATCTCCCACCGGTAACCCCCCATACAGACCTCTGCTCTCTCTGTTAACCCCCATACAGACCTCACTCTCTCTGGAATTCAAATTTTCAGTGACTTTCCTCCGACCTTGGATGGAAGACTTCAAAGTTACCCTTCAGTTCACAGAACTGACAAAAGTCACAGGCTCACAAAGACTTCAGGTTTTGCCAAACACATGTAAAACTCAGCTCCTGCCTGTGACTGGAATGCTGAAAGATGCTGAAGTTTTAGACTGTTGTATTAGCTGTCCAATTCATGCTTAAGGGACTCACATGTTGAGGAGTATGTTTAAATTTGTCAGCGTACATGTATTGTGTGTTGACAGTAACTCCACTGTATGTGTACATGTTACAGAACTAACCAGATGAATCATGGAGTGCACCAGGGAGATGTCCTTATATTCTCCAGCTAAGATACGTGTGTATGTGTGTGTATGTGTGTGTGCTTGCGTGTATGTACATGTAAGATACTAACCAGAGGGATCATAGAGTGCACGAGGGAGACGTCCTTATTCTCCAGCTGCTTCATGTAACGCACCAGCTGGGTCTCCGACCGGTGGCTGCAGGACAGAAAAAACATAAAACATTTAGAATTTGCCCTGACAAAGATGAAAGAGCGGTTGTCAAAATGTCGGCACACTAAAATATAACAATGGCACCATCATTGTGGAACTAAGAAAACCAGAATGTTAAATTACAAATTAGCTAGTACACATACTGGAAGACAGAAGAAAAATGTCCAGACTATGCTTGATGTACAAAATGACTAATAAACTGGTGGACGTACCAACTACTAAGTACCTAATACCAGCCCAGAAGAGAACAAGAAATAGCCATGCCTTCAAGTACCAGAGTTATCAACCAAGGATTGAGGTGTTCAAGAATTCATTCTTTCCTAGAACTATCGCAGAGTGGAACTCACTGTCACCAAGTACAGTAGGGGCATGGTCAATAGATAGCTTTAAACAATGTCTAGAGCTAGAAGTTCAAGGGTTAGGTGTAACAAGTCGATCAGTGTAAGCTGCGAAGCTGGTGTGTTACGCCGAAAGGCGGTTATACCGGCTATACAGAATGATACAGATACACTTTTTTCCACCCGTTAGGACACTGTCAGTTTAACTGAGTGAAAGTTGTCACCTGTTGAAGACCTTGTGCTGCAGGTAGGGGGAGGTTCGTCTGAAGGGACTGTTCATTATACTCCCCTGGGGGAGGGAGTCCATCTTGTCTGCCAGGAGGGCCTGGGAACAAAGGAACGAATGAATGAGTAAAGGAAGAAAGGCACGCTTGTGGTAATAGTTATATAATCATTCAATCCTGTATCCATCTAAACAGTAACTTCAATGTTCTGCCATGTCTAGATACTTAGTCACAAGAAAATATGTTTTTTTACGCACTTCAAATGCCTAATAGTATATATTATTCATAATAAATAATGTATTCTGCCTAAGTGCCATGTTACAGGTCCAGAGCTATAGATTCTGCTACCTTTATTCTAAGATGAAATGAAAGGCATGAAATTGATCACATTCCCAAATCTCAGCTGAAGACCGTTGAAAAAAAAATGTACCACAAATCGAATTTACTGTTACAGTACAGCCTGGAATATTCCAATCTTCCTTGTCAACCAGAATAAGACACCGTGTCTGACCTTCAGCACTCCTCAAGGAGCTGGCCAAGGTCAAGAGCGTATCTCACAAGGACAAGGACAAACCTTAAGTCATGCGGAACCCGAGATATTCTGGTCCGAGTTGTTCCTATCACATTTTTAACCTCAAATTTCTCCTCAAGGGCAATCAAACCTGCCAGTCATAACTTACACTACCTAAGTCTGTATCATGATCAGGGCAATACAGGGCTGGAAATACTGGGTGCATGTGCACTGTAGTGCATCCAAATTTGGAGCTGTGCATGAAATATTTTTTCTGTGGGTGCACCAGGGCACCCAAATATTTTTGTAGCTAGGCTTACGTAAATAAAGATGCTAAATGTATAGTTTACAGCACATTCTTAACATCTAAGTGTTAGAAAACAAATAAAATGATTGTTATTATAATAGTACTTTTCTTCAGAAATGAAACATAATTAGTTTTTACTGACAATCTATTATATATTATATCTAAAAAAAAATTTTTGTGGACCCAATTTTTTGCAACCGTGCACCTATAGCTATTAGCTAATAGCTATTCCCCAAATGAATTTCGAGCCCTGCAATGTATAAGGTGAGTTCCAAAGCCTATAAGCCTGTTTCATGGCCTGTTTCATGGCCTGTATAAGCCTGTTCTTTAGTCTAACACACATTTGGCCACAGCGGAGTGTTCCAGTGAGATAACCGTTCCCACACACAGGAGGCAGGGTTGACATTTCCTCACACTCGCCAAGAACCAAACTCTCACAGCAGAAACAGGGGGTGTAATGTGGCTTGAAATGTTAGAGGCAGTTTCTGTGGGGGAAATGCCAGAGTTTTATGACTCCCATACGTCATTGTCATGAGTTATAACAGCCTGGTTTTCAGGGATAGATTCTACCCTCCAACCAAAGGGTTGGGTTTTGGCTTATTTTTGGCGTGTTTTTAGTCTTTTTATCGGGCTTTCTTTTTTGCACTGTTTTTTTTTTTTACGCCAACGTAGACTGTCTCCTGCAGAAATGTGTACAAGTTTTGTGGAATGCTTTCAGTTTCAGCCATGGTCACGTTTATGTGGAATTTTGTAATAAAAAAACTGCCTATGGGCCCTGGAAATCTCACATTTTATTACAGTCTACATATCTAATTTTATCATCTGTATAGCAGTGACAAGTATACCAGTGAGGTATGACAGGTTATGAGAATATTAAATTAATAATTATCATTATAGTAAGTTGCTATGCTACACCCCAAGTGTACCTGCCATGAAATGTTAATGCCAGTTTTGGCCTTGTGAAGCTGAGGGAAAATGTCACTTCACGACTTGAAATATCACCACTGAGCACGTACAGTATCTATCCCTGCCAGACAGGTACAGATATATCCTACTGGAACTAAACAATACTTAGTAACCACTGCCACCCCGGTAATGATGAAATTACTGAATGAACTTCAGACAAATAGGATATAAATTTAGCCTTGGCTTAAACTTTTTGTGTCAAATGTGTGTTTTTTACCACAGATGTTAATCTATTGTTACATGATTATGTTTTTATTACTGTGTGAACCCTGGAAGATTAACCCTTTGGGCTAAAGGGCATCAAAATTACGAGCATAAAGAGAACTAGACTGTCTGAACGAGCATAAAGAGAAATAAACGGTTCTACTACTGCTATATACATATATCAGCATGTACACCCCGTAGCCTATGCGGTTACCTAGTCCTGTACATGTTTGTGTAAAGCGGCATAACAGAGTAAAGCTGACAGGATCAGGGTTAGACATGCAGCATGACTGAAATGTCTGCAAGGCTCAAGTACCCTGTTTATATGCAACTCTAGGGTTTAGCCACGGTTCAGTAACCTAGACCTGTACATGTGAGACTTTTCTGGTGTAGTTACTGCTTGGTAATCTGCATTTATATGTGAGGCTTTTGGGCTTAAAGTAATACCATACAGGTCAGCAATCCTTCAGTATGTGAAACTTTGGGCTGTGTCTCTTAAGTTGACAGTAACCTTCAACTGTGTATGTAAGACTTTTGTTGAATGTGTAGATAACACTCAGTAATCTGCATGTACAAACTGTATATGTGCGGCTTTTGGGATTAGAGTATACAGGTCAGCAAACCCTCAGTATTCAGACTTTGGGGTGTATCTTAAGTTGACAGTGACAGTAACCCTTAGCTATACATGTGAGACTTTTGTGGTGTAGTAACTTGGTCTGCATGTATATGTGAGGCTTTTGGAATTAGAGTATACAGGTCAGTACAGCTTTAGAATCAGGAGTAAGTGAGACTTTGGGCTGTATCTCTAGCTGATGATAACTTTCAGCATACATGTGCATGAGACTTTTCTGGTGTAGTTACCGCTTGGTATCTGCATGTATATGTGAGGGGCTTTAGGTTTACAGGTCAGCAAACCTTTAGCATTTCAGACTTTTTACTGCAACATACTTTTGGTATGCACTCCTTCACACCTCAAATGTACATACCTAGGGTATGTTGCAGTAACAATATCTTTAAGCACACTTTTTCTCAAGGTGGCAATATTATGGACTAGGGTGATATTATGGACCCTGGTGATATTATGGACACAGTTGTTATCTTTAGTTGACAGTTACCTTCAACTGTATAGTATAGTATTAAGTGAGATTTTGAGGGTTAAGCCCCAGCTTAAGTAGGCTGTCTATATGCAACATTCTGGGTTCAGTTTCAGCTCGGCGGAGCTGACAGGTAAAGGTGTGTGGGCGGGGTCGTTCTTATCTGTTGCCATGGCAACTGATGATGTCACCTGTGCGTGTGATGCATGTGAAACGAATGGCATTTTCTGTATGTGTAAGCTGAAGATGATTTAGTGTTATATAACATTAAAAAGTAACCTTTGGGAATGTCTAATAAAGTGTTGTACTTAGTAGTATTATAGGTTATAGTGAGTAAAGAGACTTATTTTTACACAACCAAGACTTTTATTCAACCGACGTTTCAGTGACCGTCTGTCACCTTCCTCAGGGCAATTCTGACTGGTTCACATTGCACTGCAGCACAGGTGTCACTGCTATAGATGCATTCCCAAATGTACGTCGGCTGAATAAAAGACTTGGTGTAAAAAGAGTCTCTTTACTCAGTGTCTTACCAACCTGATGAAACTATTCAAGGAGTATAGGTTATACTCTGATAATTATGGAAATCATTGCTTAAATCACAGCTACATTGTACACCATTATTTCTACTTCTTCACTAAAGCCTTTGTATATAACCAAATTCAAACCCTGTATCCAGCCTCACCACAGCTATGCCATAGCACATTGTGCATTAACTCCTAGCTGATTTCTTATCAATCACTTATCCTGGGATTATGTAAGCTTAGAGCCAAGCCCAGGTCCTTATCCCATTAAAATGCCTGCTCAAGCTTAACAAGTGAACCATGATTACCAGTCTGCCATACATGTGCTCGGTGTTTCCCTATAACACAGCAACAAACAATCACTGGTCTTACCCTTACCCTAACCCTACAACACAGCAACAAACAGGCGTAACATAACGTTATATCTATAGTTCTATGCCTGAATGGGTTAGGGTTAGGATCAGGCACGGTTCTGGATAGTCTCTTTTGTATGCAGAACCGTGCTTATCTAGTCCTATGCCTGAATGGGTTAGGGTTAGGATCAGGCACAGATTTGGATATAGCCAAACCCTACTTGCCTCAAAAGATATAGCTAGTACTTAGTTCCTAAATTAGTTTCTATTTTGTTAAAACTTTTAGGGTTTGAATTACTCTATTTCTACTCTTATGTTCTTGTCAGATGTATGTTTCCTATGTCCTGAGGTAAAATGCAATTATTAGCCTTCAGGCATAAACTAGTGTTAAACAAATGTTTCCTTTCATAGTTTTATCCTAAGCACAATTGAGAACAGCATAGCTCTACTCACAGCACTTGACTCGGAGCCGAACACCCAGAGAAGGTCGTCAAGGTCGTGTTCTTCCACTGTCTCGTCCAAGGACACGCCCAACTGTGGGGGGAGGGGGGCGGAAAAAAGGGGGTTAGTGAAGATAGTGCTGCCTTTTTAAGTCCTGAGACACTTGCTGGAGCTTCCTGGAAGGATTAGTACATCTTTAGTAGCTTAATCCACGGGCAGCTTAGACCTAAATCCCTGCTCCTGATCCCATCAACTCTGATCCCCTGCCCGATTACTGGATCTGGGTTACTAATCTCCCACGGATTAATGATTAATAATCATCTTCCACAGGTGAAACAGAATCTTCTTCACTGACTGCAGAAACCTTAATTCCTACAAACTGAAACAAATTTAGTTAGGAGACTGATAGGAATCATGTAGTTAAATGACCTTGTATTTCTGAATTCTTGTAGTCTGGATATGTATGTATGTATGATTGTTATTTTGTCGTCTCCTACTAGTATGTGATCACGGGAAGAATAGCAAAGTGTAAACTAAAGCTAACTGTGGATCCAGATAAAGTAAAAGTCTCATTTCCTCACCATGCCGTCGTTATAGACCCTGAGGTTGATCTCCTTCTGCGCCGCCCGCTCCAGAACGTCGGCCGGGCCCGTCCCACACGCGACCTTCAACGTGTCGAACACAAGGTCGTGCTGCAGGTGGTGCCCCGCCCGCTTCAGACCTGCAAGAATAAAGTCAGGAGTGCTGCGTCAGGAGTCACTTGAAGACATCTTAGGAAAGTGGTCTTGAGGATATTAAGTATCTACAGCATGCTTACTGCTGTCTGCTGTTACTGGCAAAGAGTAAAATCTTTCAATGAGATTTTACCTCATTCCACTCACCTTCAGCTAGCAGCAATGTCCCATGATGCACCCTGGTGGCGATGTGTTTGAGGCCCTCGGGTCCGTGGTAAACCGCGTACATGGCGGCCATGTTGGCCAGGAGAGCCTGAAGGGGGAAACATCAAACATCAAACTGTGGGGATATTAAGCTCACACAAATCTTTAGAATTAGAATTAGTTAGAAAAACATTCTGCATCATCTGCAGCCCAATAGCAATACGTAGACCGAACCCCAAACAAATCCGTCCAGCCGATCGCGAGAAACAGCTGCTGACAGAAATGGTTCGCACAATAGTAAAACCTTCCCAGGGAAGGAGATATCCTTCCCCGGAGGTAATTAATGGGAACCCATTTTGTTTGTAAACATTCTGATCACATGAACAGCCTTGTCCAATGAACTTACCTGAGCTGTGCAGATGTTGCTGGTTGCCTTGTCCCTGCGGATGTGCTGCTCCCGAGTCTGTAAGGCCAGACGGTACGAGTCCCTCCCTGCTGAGTCCCTGCGATGGGGTTAAACAACATACATGAGTGACCAAGCAAAACATTTCGAAGTTTCAACACAAAAGTGAGAAACAGCACCTGCTTTCCCTTACCTCTAACCCCCGACCTACCTGCTGACCCCAACCTCTAACCCACTGGCTGACCCCTAACCCCTGACCCACCTGCTGACCCCTAACCCCTGACCCACCTGCTGACCTGACCCCTAACCCCTGACCCACCTGCTGACCCCTAACCCCTGACCCACCTGCTGACCCCTAACCCACCTGCTGACCCCTAACCACTGACCCACCTGCTGACCTGACCCCTAACCCCTGACCCACCTGCTGACCCCGACCATCCTGCCAGGCATAAGTCTTTTCAGCTCGTCCCTGACGGCGAAGAACGCGGCGTGCGGCCCGCCGTACCCGAGCGGCACGCCAAACCGCTGGCTGCTGCCGACCGCAATGTCCGCCTCAAGCTCGCCCGGCGGCTTCATCAGCGTCAGCGCCAACAGGTCCGTCGCAAACACTACCAGGGTCTGAAACGGGTTAAAGGTCAAGCACAAAACACACACAGAACCACAAACATCAGCGTCAGCGCCAACAGGTCCGTCGCAAACACCACCAGCGTCTGGGGGGGGGTCGTGTCAGAGGTTAGACATACATGTAAGCACAACATTGAACTGCCAGTATTGGGGTGGGGGGCAGTGCATTATAGTCAGAGGACAACTGACTCCCCTCCTTGAGCTCTCGACAAGCGGCTTAGGCCGAAGACTGTACACTGTATGATTCAAGGTTAAATAAAGGTTTTTAAAAAAAATGCGGCACCCAAGGTACCAGCCCAATCTACAGTAAAAACCTGTACTACCCACCCCGTTATCGTGTGCGTCTGCGATGACTCTCTGCAGCAGCTCCATGTTGTAAACCTGCCCCTCCATGTTCGGGTACTGCAGAATCATCCCGCTGAAGTTACGGTCGCTGAAGTCCATGTTCACGATGTCACTCACGGTTATATCGATGCCCAGGGCCCTAAACAAACAAACAAACAAATAAATAAATAAACTAGAAAGGTAACATTTGCAAAGCAAATGCATGATGTTTACCTTCGCATATGGTCTGCCCGGTTAATTCTTACTCAAACACATATATGGTGACAGGAGTCTAAATCCCTCTTACTATAAAATTGCAACATTTTGAAACCCAACACCAGTTACCATGGTGAGAGACAGTCTGGTTCAGGTCATTGACCAGGTCAGAGGTCAGTGCAGGCAAAAAATTTGACTTCCTTCGTGATATAACATTTTACAAGACACTGTCAGTTTAACAGAAAAATTACATATTATAGATGGCAGTTAGTTTGTTGTCTAACTATAACTATTACCATGTACAATGTATTATAGAACTGTACTGTTCTAACTTACTCTGCTCTAGTCTGGATCAGCCCTATAGTCTGCGGATGGCAGTAGCTGTGAGACTATGTTGTTCTAACTTACTCTGCTCTAGTCTGGATCAGCCCTATAGTCTGTGGATGGCAGTAGCTGTGAGACTATATAATTATGTTGTTCTAACTTACTCTGCTCTAGTCTGGATCAGCCCTATAGTCTGTGGATGGCAGTAGCTGTCCACGTAGAATCTCCGTCTCTTGTTCTGTCTGTAGCAGAGCGCCATGGCTTCTGCGGCTGCCGTCGCCTCGTCCAGGAGTGAAGCATTCGCGATGTCCATGGCGGTGAGGTCTGTCACCATCGTCTGGTAGTTCAGCAAGCTTTCCAGCCGGCCCTGGGCCACCTCGGGCTGGTAAGGAGTGTACTGTGTCGTCCTGTAGAACATAAAACCACACGGTTAGGGGTTCCAATCCCAACAGGCTTTCCAGCCGGCCCTGGGCCACCTCGGGCTGGTACGGAGTGTACTGTGTCGTCCTGTAGAATACAAAACCACAGGGTTAGGGGTTCGAATCTCATGTTTATAGCGGTGAGGTCTGTCACCATCGTCTGGTAGTTCAGCAAGCTTTCCAGTCTACCCTGGGCCACCTCGGGCTGGTAAGGAGTGTACTGTGTCGTCCTGTAGAACATAAAACCACACGGTTAGGGGTTCGAATCCCAACAGGCTTTCCAGCCGACCCTGGGCCACCTCGGGCTGGTATGGTGTGTACTGTGTCGTCCTGTAGAACACAAAACCACAGGGTTAGGGGTTTGAATCCCATCTTAGAGAACTACAAACCTGGGGATAACTGTATGTGAATATTGATCTTACATCGTAAATCAGGGACAGTTTTTTTTTTTTTCTTTAAGAAACATGCATGTCTGTTTCGGGAGTTTCAGGGATTCTGAAGTTTGAAGCCCCTGAGGATGTGAGAAATCTGTTTCTGTGGGGCATAGAAGACTGAGAAATCTACATGTACATGTTTGTGCACCGTGAAGGAGAAACCCATAAGTGCCATAAAGTCTCCTGCAGGCGACTAACAGGATTGTGGGAAGCCTGGAGGCACGTCGTTAGTCTGGCGCCGTTCGGAGACAGGCTTCTCCACAGATAACAGCCGTAATGCCCGGGACTTCAGCAGCACTGTGTGTGCATCTGCACGTGAGCAACACTGCCAGGGGTAAGTTTGTGCACAGGAAATAAAATGTGCGTAGGTCCATATACATGTTCTCAACTCCCTGCAGTAAAGCCTGGCAGCTGCGTTCTGAAGTGGACATATATTTTACAGTCTGGGCAATAAGAGAGAATATCACACACGCCCCCCTCCCAACAAGTGCACTTAACCCTGATGCCATCTCTGCCCTCTGTGTTGCAAATCCCTGCGGTCTATCAGGGAGAGATTATATACGTGGCTGCAGCTGGTAGCAGGAATAACCTGGGACCTTTTGTTTCTGAGGATGGTGTTTGGCATAACAGTTTTGTAGTAATAAAGACAACAAGCAACAACGACAGAAAAACAACAAGAGATCTGTTCTTACCATCCAGGGTTTTCGAAGATGTTCCTGAGGATAGTGTTGGGCGTGACTGTTCCGTAGTACCCCATCCCGATGTAGGACCTCCAGACTTTGTTCTTCCCCGCGATGTGACGCAGTCTTTTGTGGACTTCACTCTCCGCTGGACAGATAAGGGGCAGAAACAGACAGTGAGACTCTTTACATCATCATCATCATAATAATAAATGGTTTATTGCCCAAACATCACCCATGCAATCGCAATTTTCGTATGCACGGATTTTGTCGCCGTGTAAACCGGGTCTATCTAGCAACATCAGGGTTTTTTCTAAACAGGAATAAGGGAGCTGCTCCCTCATGTAACCAGCCAGCTCCCTCATACCAATTTTCAGATTGAACCCAAAGTGGCTATTCTTATAAAAAAAATCCCCCCTCAGTTGCTTCTTTCCTTGTCATGCTTGCGATCTGCTCCCTCATGCTACATTTTTCTAGAAAAACCCCTGAACATCATCCATCCAAACCCAAAATGACAGTGATAGTTAATCTCATTTGGTCTGAGCCCCCCCCCCCTCTCCCCCCATATACAGACACTATTACGTTGTTCGTCCGTCACTATAGAGCGCCCATCAACCATCCAAACCCAGCCAGACAGAGTTAATCCCTTTTACTACTGTTATAGTCAGCCTTGCTGCTACAGGATTTACCCAGGATCTCCCCAGCCTGGAGCTATAACATCTGACTGATGACTGTTGTTCTCTAAAGCATTATTTATTGATAAACTTCACAGCCCTTACTGATATGAAGTCACAGGAAAGCCTAAAAAAATCTCAACTTTCTATCAGATTTTGGTCTCAAGATAGCTGCTGTCCTGATTTTCTCATACGTAATAATTTACTACCTAAAAGGTAAAAGGGTATCGTAATAAACTAAATAAACTGAATGACCTGAGGACACTCTGGCGTGAGTTCTCAATTATAAGTTAGAAATAGTTTAGTGCATTTTTAATGGTATAACGGATGATGCGAGGCCCCATAATTCAGGAGAACCGGCCGGCCGAGGCTTGTTAGCCAGAGGTCACGCCGCTGATGGCGGAGCTACGTGCGGAACGTTCCGTCCGTAACGCTAATAACACTGATGGTCTATAAATCACAGCTACGCCAGGCTGACAGGTACAGCATGGGCAAAGTTCTGGGGTGGAAATTACACCTGAATGTACAGGTGTGAAGGAGAATTTGTGCAGGTATTTCTGATGTCCAACTACAATTGTTCAGGATAAAACCAACCAGTCTGCAAAACTTGTAAACCAGAGCCAATTGCTTTATCCAGAATCTGGATATAATAGTACTAATAGGACATTTTCCCCTTGATAAAAAGTATTCAATGCTTCAAAGTACCATCTTTTATTACAGGCTTATCACAAGGTTCAAAACAGTGCTACATCTTCAAAATATTTGATGGACTAAAAGGAGAGAAAATGAGTAATACAGGAAAACTTTGTCAGGAACAGGTCACTGGTAACTTTACATATGTGCAGGGATGCAGGAAAAGAATTTCGAGTCCTGATCATTCATTTTCAAGTTCCGTCATAATTTAGACACAAACAACCGGGCAGCCACTGGCTAAGTGCCTACAGGCTGTCCGTGGTTTACTTGGGGATTTGTGAGATGGCAGTTTGTACATCAGGTCTGTACTTATGTGACGTCTGAATCACATGTGTAAAACCTGGGTGTACAGGGACTGTGTGAGGAATGGTAGACTTAGTTCTGTCTGATATGGAAGTACTCCTTGAGTACAGGGGGGACCAGTAATGGCAATGACTGCAGCTGACTGGTTAGGCCATTAGGGTCGGTATACATACTGACACATGTAGGTTGGGATTATCTTTTGTTGCTGTTTTTTTAGACTTCCTCTCATGAGCCAACTTATTCAATACAGTTTAACAAACTTGCATGAGGACACCTATATTTTCAATGTCAATGTTAGAAAAACGATTGTGCAATGTTTCATCACTCAGGTGTCAGATCATGGAGCTAGAAAAGGTCGATCAGCTACAAAAATTTATGTCCCTTGCAGGGATCCACACACAAAAAAAGTCTAGGGTCAGCAGGTTTTTCTAGCTCTGGTCGGGAAACAGGAAACACAACAATTATTTTCCTTGAGGCCTTTGTAAAGAGTCCCTAGTTCAGCTTAAGTGGGAATTTGGAGTCTGGTAGTTAAATTACTAAATAAGACGTCACATTAAATCAGGTCTGATCTAATGTGACGTCTAAATAAACCTGTAAAAAACTGGGAGTAGTACTTAAGACTGTTTCCTACAAAACACTGGGCAGTGTTTCCAGCAGGTAACTTATTAATGAGAGGTCAGAAATAGTTCAGCACAATTTGGGCAGGACAAAAAAGTTATAAATAAAAAAAGCCTTTCCAGTAAAACAACCTCCTGGTCTGTTACCATGGCGACAGGACCTTTAGAGGTCGCTGCACCCTGCAGACTGAAACCCGATCTGTGCACCTGTAACCTGAGTCATGTGACCTTCATGTTTATGGTCAGACAGCCAGGCAGGGTCAGGGTCAGGGACTGGTAACATTAACAAGGTCAACATGCTTATTATCAATGAGAAAAATAAGGAAAGAACCTAAATGCTGAGTTAAGGCTTCATTTCTTCAAGAGTGCCTGTCATGATCTTGGAAGGTTTCCAAGACCGGAGACTGTCTTCATTGTTTACATCAGGATGTCTTCTTTTACTATTTGTTTTGACTCTTAGGATGAAAGGATTCTGACTACTATAGCTCTGAAGTTACAGGATATATACAGCATGTATATTATGGTCAGACGAGCTGGACAGTAGAATTTTAACCAATCTCCAAGCAGATCTTCTGTTGGCACAAGGGTAGTATCTAAAATACCACTGTTAGGCTGGCAGGAAAAAAAAATACTGGTACAAGAAAAGAAAGCCCCATAAAAATGCATAATTGTTCAGATGTAAAAAAAGCCTACATCCTCTGTTTGAATCTAGTAAATTTTGAGTACATTTTGCAGCTCTGTAAAACTACTGAGCAGGTCCAGGGAAATGCAGAGTTTACGTCAGGAGTTAGTCAGAGTGAGCTGATGTGTATCGATCTCAGGTGTGAATAATTTATCAGTCAGTCACGGGACAACACGACTCAGACTCACGCCACTAGTTTTACACCCATGTTAGAATCTACTGTCAAATAAAGACTGGCTGAGTTGTATCCAGGACCGTGCTTTATCCAGAACTTTGTATGGTTCTGGAGTCAATGCATATCCAGAACTATTCTTGAATATCGGGAGACAGACTATCCAGAACCGTGCCTGACCCTAACCCTAACCTATTCAGGCATAGAACTTAAGACAGGCAAGGTTCTGGATTCGAAGCAGGATTCGAACCCCCGACTCCTGGTACAGAGCAACACAGCACCCGAAAGACATGCACCTGGCTGTAATGACAATAAACTACTTATACTGCAAAAACGTACTACCCCTCCACTGTTGCCTGTTCCTACTCAATAAAAAGTGGCCACAATGACTGTTTAAGTCAATTAGCTACAATTACATCAACCCCCCATCAGACCCTCCAAATGGAAACAAGATGCTGACATGGATGACCTTGAACAAAAGCCCCAAGGTCAACACGGCAATTCCTGTAGTTGAGGATCCTGTAGAATTGTACCCTGTGCTTTCCTGTGATAACATTACACAAATGTGCCTGTTGTACTTCAGATGGAGTTGTTTCAATAAGTTCAATAACATTTTAGTTTTCTATACTTGAAACTTGTTCTGGCAGAAGAAACAGGCAAAACTTGCAATGAAGGGTTTAAATCATCATCATCCAAATGCAATGGCATGTTAAAATACAAGAATGTTCTGTCAGGAAAGAATTTCAAAGGCCTCTATTGTAGTAATTTGTACAATTTTATGCTCTAATACATCGAGCTACATGTAAGTATAGGTTATGGTGATTAAGTTCTATGTACTGTAAAAACTGTAGACCTTCTACAATAAAAATGATAATTTTATGTATCATATTCTACCACAAGGCATTTTTCTACATAATTAACCAACAGAGCAGTGCTTTTGATAACATGGAGTTTTATTTTCTTTTGTCTGCTCCACCTCAACATTTCTTGAACACCCATTTACTTTGTGCGGTAAAACTCCAGACAGAAGCAGCATCAGTAGTCAGGCTCGTGTGTCGAGCAGTAATCACACAAAATTGTCCCCAAATTGTCACTAATTCCCGCCAAGCAGGAGCCTAACTACCCACAATTTGCGGCGTATGTCGGCCGCACGTCAAAAACCTAACCACCGACCAAAACGCCGTAAAAACCACCACTTTAACCGCCCGTGTATGACGGCACTACGTCAAAACACAAACCACCGTCCTAACCTAGTCTCTACCAGACTAACTACGCTGGCTAGATATAGGAGAATATTTGCCGGGGGAGTTTGGCCTCCTTGTAGGTTTGACTGGCCGCGCTTCGGAGGGAAAGAAACTACCTGCCCGCGGCCGGACTCCCTTGGCCAATTTTACTCTCTTTTTCTGCCGAATTCTACGATCCGTTTTCCCGTAGAAAGGCCTGGTGGAGGCTAGTCCTAACCAGCAATTTTCAGATGACAAACTGCGAGGAATTACTGAGTATTACTCCCTTCCCACGCGTCGGTCTTCGCTGGTCCAGGCTTGATTATGTTGCCCAATTTTCCCCGCCCAATTCGGCGCAATAACGGCGTCTTTAGGGAGCTCTAAAACCTCTCCATCAAACTCTCATCCTGCTGGTTATTGATCTGTAATCTGCGCCTGTGAAGCTGGAATGGCCGATCATCTCAGGATTAATAACCCGAGTGCTGCGATTTCTGGGGCCAGGGAAAAATGTTGTGTTTCCTGTTTCAGACCTGAAAATATTAGGGTCAGTAGGTAGGAATTATCTTTTTTTAATCAATAAGACTTGGCAATCTCTACTTAATGTGATCTAACTTATACAATACATTTTAACAAAGTAAAACTTGCACGAGGACACTTATATTTTCAATGTCAATGTTAGCAAACTGATTGTACATCGTTTCATATCACCCAGGTGTCAGATCATGGAGCAAGAAAAGATCAATCAGCTCAAGAAATTAATGTCCCCTGCAGGGATCTACACAAA